AAGCCTCTCTGAAAAAGAGGCTGAAACTGAAAAATGTCCTTCCTCTGTCCTGTGGTGTGACAGCACCATTGTGGAACAGGATACCTTTATTTGACAGAGTTTTTGTGTAATTTTCTTTGATGGTGGCACAAAAAGAGCGTTCCTTCACCAGTGATGTAATCCTTCTTCATGTTAGGACACAACTCAACGTCCTTCACTCTGCTTTTTCTCATGGATGAAGTGGATTAGGTCTCCTTGATTATTCTGAGGCTCAATGCAATGCTTTTGCCTTCTGCTACTTGTACTGGGTTCAGCAAAAAAAGGTGGAAACAGGAAGCAGAGAGGAGGGGTGGGCTCTTGTTGGGAAAACTTTAGTCCTCCTCCCGAACACCGGCTACGTGCGTTGAGGTCCTGCTTCAAGGACGTGGTCAAGCATCGCTCACTTGTGGGAAGTAGAGAGTAATTTATTTCCTCTGCACTTCCACGTAGCCTTTATTTGTCTTGTTTGTTTGTTTTCCTTCTTTCCCTTTCCCCCTCCCTTTTTCCCTTTCCCCTTTTTTCCCTTTAGATAAATAGTTTAGTTCATAATAATCTTTCCTCAACAATAATAATTATTATTATTATTTCCCTTTAATTAAATTATCCATATCTCAACCCGTAAGTTGTTCTTTACTTTACTTCTTCCCTTCCTCATCTAAGGAGGGGGAGTGTGAGAGTGTTTCTGGTGTTTAGCTGCCTAGCACGGAAAACCACCACACTACTCCAGCACAATATGAGTGACCTTCCCTTACTCTGCACTTTGACCTCATGGGTCATTTCACATTTTTCACTTTCAAAACCTTAGTTGGATGGGGGCCATTTCCAAAGTGGGGAAAGCTGATGGGTTCTGGCTCAGCCATTTGAAGCATGCTGTACTTGAGTTTATCAGCCTGAGTTTGCTAAAGATGACCCAGGAAGGTAAACGGATGTTCATGTGTCTAGTAGGAATAAGGGAGAGTATCTCAGGTTTCCAAGGGCCATTTCAAATCTAGGTCAGTCCAAGGAACCCACTGAAGAAGAGGTTTGTCTTTGAAGGGGTTTCCTGTGCTGCACTGGGTTGCAGTTACAGGGACAAAGACCACTGCTGGCAGTGGAGGTGTCCTGGGAACTCCACCTGGCTCCATCTGATTTTCCCAAAGGGCTCCGGCCTCCTGCAGATCTTTTCTGACACCTGCCAGTGCAGGGAAGTGCCTCAAACACAACGGGGCCACTGGAGGCTTTCCCTGGTTATGCTTATGGTCAGACAGCAATGCTCGGCCTGAACACCCAGTTATTTCTTTAGTGCTCAAATGATAAAGCGACTACTCATCAGCTCAAATGATTCAATCCCTTCTGTAAAATGTCTCATGTGAAGTGTAATTTCTATCATGAAGAAATGCTAATTTCCATGGTTTATATTAATGGCAGGAGAAGAAATAGTGATGTGCACCTGTACTTGCATTCTCATTACCTTGTCTATCCTGGTGTGCTCCCTCGTCTTCCAGGCACAAAACCCATCTTGATTACACAGAACATGCTGAATGTCCCCTTTCCACCTGCCTGTCTGAACCTGGACTTTCCATTGTTCTCCTGGTTTGCCCTCCCCTTACTCTTTGACCATTCAGACTGCTCTCAGTGACCCAGTTGCTGCTTTGAGTTTCATTGAGTCCAAGCTTACCCATCTCTCAGCAGTCTTTTAATGGTTTCCTTAGTAAGACCCCCATCATTTATCATTGAATTAGTATGATATGGATTATTATTAACATGATTATTGAAAATTTCCTATTAATCACTGTAAAATACATCATGTACAGTCATCCTTTTGGGAAGGTAAACATCACTGGAAGCAATGAAATAAGGAACTTGATTATTATTTTTTTTTTAAATTGCAGCATGATTTCCTGTTGTTTGTTTTGAAATAGGAAAACCCCTGTTCTTCCCACCTAAGCAGGGCTTCAAAGGAGAAACCCTAGACCAATACCTATAGCAGAATGATGCTCTAAACTGAATCACAACAAAATCCAGAGTTTAAAATGAAGAAAGATTTTTATTAGATGCTCTTTGAAATCTTCCCCCTTAACTAGAACATGAAAGCTCTACAATTAGCTGAAAAAGTCTTGAAGACTTGAAGAAAATGGTGGGAGAGATATGGCTCCTTAGGAGTTTCTGTGTTTTAATGAGTTCCATGGAGTATTTTGGTGCTGTGTCAATGAAACTTGGGTACTGAGCGGAGAATGATGCAACTGTGTGAAAAAGCAAATGGACAAGGAAAAGCTGAAGTGACTTGGAGTATTAATGGGCCCCACTGAGGTCTGTTACTAACAAAGCTTCCCCAAGGACATGTTAGGACAGATAATTGGAGGCCATGATTACAGACAGGCAAAGCACTGTGTTGAGAAAAGTCTTGGTTTGTTTTGGTGAAGCAAAAGGGCCAAGGCCTGACCCCAGTCACTGCGAGGAGAGATCCTGCACCCCCCTGTCTGCCTCAGGACTTTTCTTGGGGGTCTGAGGAATGCGATGGGCAGTGTGATGCCGTAAGAAGAACACTGGTATGACACCTCCCTGCCTCTGCACAGGGTTGCAAGGAAGAAAAGAGGCTGCATTGCAATGACTATATGTCATCTTCTCATAAGCTCTAGCCAAAGGGACAGGGCTGTTGGGTCCTTCCATTCTAGCCAGCACCCTCTGCCTTCTCTGCATGATTTCAAATGCTCTCCCACACTTTTTCCTACTTCCTGGAAGTTTGCAGATAGCCATCTCTGTTCACCACCTTGCTCTCATCCCAGGATTTCAATCATTTCACAAATGTCTCATCAACCCTCACCAGCTGTTCCTTTAAAAAAGGAGCTAGGGTCTGATCATAGATACCTCACCAGCATCTTCCAAGCCAGGGGCCTGCTGCTGGCCTTGCAGCTTCTTGGCTACACACAGCCAAGCCTTGTGCCTGCTGCTGTCCACTCATGGACTCAAGCAGAAGGGACAGGACAACCCATCTGGGGGTCTTCTCTCTGGGTCCTCCTGGGTCTGGAGACAGAGGGGATCCCCCAGTCAGCATGCCAAGCAGGTGCCTTCTGCTGGCCTAGCAGGGCCACTGCCAGATGTCAGCCCAAAAGTGCAGATCCCAGGGAGAAGGCAAGACTGACCTGCCACCTCCAGACACAAGTGACCTCACAGTCCCTTTCTGTGACACGTTCCTGCTGCTGCCCTATCCACTGCAGAGACAGAAGTGACCTCACAGTCACTGCCACAGTCACATTCCTGCTGCTGGTGCAGGAGATCCTGAGGCAGAGCTGAGCTCATCAGAGCATTCCCACCCTTCTCCTCCTTGTGGCCCACAAGCTGATCAGATCCATGGCCCCTCACATTCATTTGCGGTAAGGGTTTTGTTTACGTCTCTTAAGCAGTTTTGTAGTGTTAAATAGACCATTTTAATGCCACTATTAAGGGCAGAGATCAGAGTGATTAAGAGAGGAAGAGCTAGGGGAAACAGCTATGGGCTGAGTTTTGTCTTCTAGGGATACTTTGAGGTCAGTCTTAGAGTAGTGGATTCCTGTCAGGGTGCTGAGTAGCATTTAGGTGTAGGAATTAAGTTTACAGGTTGAAGCCAGGGATTAGCCTCATATGACTATTTTAAGTCACAGTTACTCTATTCCTGAGAAAAGTGGCACTTCAGACATGTTGGAAAAGGATACAAAAGTCCATCAGAGCTCCCTGCACCTGCAGCAGCCACACTGGCCCTCAGCAGATGTTCTGGCTGGCACGCACGGGGAGGTGCTGGCATGCGTCAGAGAGCAGAAAGGAGGGCGCTGGAGAAGGCCTGGGCAAGGCGGGTGGCAGAGCCCCATGCAGGGGATGGCTGGGGGTCCCCTCTGCTGCAGCTAGCTCACACAGCGTGGCAGGAGGAGGCCAGGCAGGGCTCGTGGCCATGGGGCATAGCCTGGCCCTGGGCTCTTCCTGACGTCCCTGCAGGTCCTGGCAGACTGCAGGGAGGGGATGAATGCCTTGGGCCTCCTTCCTGCTCTGCCCAGGCTAGCAAGGGCCCAGAACGGCTTCCTCTCCCCTGCCCCTTCAGCTCTGGGCTCCCTTCATGCAGCCCTGGCTCTGCAGCACCAAGCCCTGCTGGGAGCCCTCCCCTGCATGCTGCCACCGCTCCCCGACGCTGCTGTTGCCCTCTGCCAGGCACTGCCCAGCCCAGCCCAGCTCCTGCCCACCTCTCCCCAGCTCCCTGCCCTCTCCCCACCCCAGCCAAGCCCAGCAGCCCAGGCTGGGCTGGCCCCAGGCCAATGCCCACCGCAGGCTGCTGTAGGGCTCTGGGCATGGCCACCACAGCCCCAGCCCCTAACAAGCTGGTACAAAGGTGTCTCTGGGCCTCCCCAGCCGCCCCCACGCTGGGGCCAGCCACAGCTCAAGAGATGGAGGTCTGTGAAGCTGCCGTAGCCCTGGTATCTTGCCTGGGAGATCCCCAGCACAGTGTCTGTTTCCTGCAGGGCCAGCCCTGCTCCCCAGTCCAGCACAAGAGGTCTGGCCCAGGCACATAGCAGCTCCAGATTCCAGTCCATAAAGCTCCAGATTGCCCCACTGAGTAGCGTTGGGCAGCACCAAGTGCCATGAGAGCTGTTCCTAAATTTGACAGCAGGGCTTTTGTCCCTGAGCCCCTTCCCTGTTGGGAGAATGAGATGGGATCTGAGAGCTGTGAATACCTCATGGCTTATTGTCTTTATCTACACAGGAAGATTGGTTCTTAAAGTACCGTAGATGACTGGGTCAAAATAAAAATCAACATGTAGAAGGATAAGAAGAAATTCCCTTAATTTAAAATAATATCATGCATTTAAAAAAAAATAAGAATAAACAATTTTAGAAAACATTTTGTGAGAAATTTTCTCAGTACTGTTAGGATGGTGAGCATATTATTGATGCTTAAGAAGTATGTATGAAAGTAATTTCCTGAGTGCATTTTTCAGTTCCTGGTTCCTCATGCTGTAGATGATGGGATTCACTGCTGGAGGCACCACCGAGTACAGAAATGACACCACCAGGTCCAGGGATGGGGAAGAGATCGAGGAGGGCTTCAGGTAGGTAAACATGACAGTGCTGACAAAGAGGGAGACCACAGCCAGGTGAGGGAGGCATGTGGAAAAGGCTTTGTGCCGGCCCTGCTCAGAGGGCATCCTCAGCACAGCCCTGAAGATCTGAATATAGGACACCACAATGAAAACAAAACAACCAAATGTTGAAGAAACACTAAACACAAGTGCCCCAACTTCCCTGAGGTAGGCATCTGAGCAGGAGAGCTTGAGGATGTGGGGGATTTCACAGAAGAACTGGTCCACAGCATTGCCTTGGCAGAGGGGCAGGGAAAATGTAGTGGCCATGTGCAGGACAGCATCAAGAAAGCCACTGCCCCAGGCAGCTGCTGCCATCTGGGCACAAGCTCTGCTGCCCAGGAGGCTCCCGTAGTGCAGGGGCTTGCAGATGGCAACGTAGCGGTCGTACGCCATGATGGTGAGAAGGAAATACTCCGATGACATCAACAAGACAAAGAGAAAGACCTGTGCAGCACATCCTTGATAGGAGATGTCCCTGGTGTTCCAGAGGGCATTGGCCATGGCTTTGGGCAGAGTGGTGGAGATGCAGCCCAGGTCGAGGAGGGCGAGGTTGAGGAGGAAGAAGTACATGGGGGTGTGGAGGCGGTGGTCACAGGCTACGGCGCTGAGGATGAGGCCGTTGCCCAGGAGGGCAGCCAGGTAGATGCCCAGGAAGAGCGCAAAGTGCAGGAGCTGCAGCTCGCGCGTGTCTGCGAATGCCAGCAGGAGGAACTCGCTCACAGAACTGATGTTGGGCATTTTCTGGTTCTGGCCATAGGGTTCTCTCAAGGAGGGAAAAGGCAGTAAGAAAATACAACAAAACTATCTGATGATATTTGATTTCGTTTCTGCCTATTACGTAGACATTAAGCAGGTCCATTTCAGGAGCTCTGTCTGTTGCTTTCCAAGGGTTTCCCTGGAAGCAGGGGACTCTGCTTTGGGCAGTGTAGTTAACAGTTCTTACCTATAGAAAGAAGTAAAGAGGAACATTGCATATTCACAGATTAATTCTTATGAACAAATTGTTGCTCCCAAATCACCTAATGGCAGAGAAGTGCTGTGGCGATTTCTTTTTTCTATACTGTCATTCCTGCTGCTTTACATTAAAAACCTTGTGGATCCTCAGAATCACAGATTCCTCTACTACAGAGTGTACTTCAGAGAGTACAGCCAGTCTGTCCCTCACGTCTGGTCTCTCTGTGCTGGTCTCTCTGTGTCTCTGTGTCTGGTCTTTCTGTGCTGCCCTGTGCTGGTGGGAGAAAAGAGCATCAATTTTCCCAGAGAGGTGCCTGATCCCCTCTCACACAGCATTTCTGGAAGCAGCTCTCTCTCACCGCCTGCCCATGGCCCTGCTGGGAACTGGTTCTCTGTCCCCACATCTCCTCCATGTCCACGCTAACAGACCTCATCCCATAAGCTGTGTGCTCAGACTCACTCAGATTCCACTCCACTGCAAGAATCTTAAAGCAGAGAATCCAAAAAATCCTTTCTCTTCAGACTAACCAAGCCTCAGTCTTCCTCCTGAAATGCCCATTCATAAATGCCATTCTCTAAAGTATCTCCTAGTCCAAATTAGAGGTAGAGTGAGACCCATTCCAACAGATGCTATCAGCCATTGGATGTGCCAGCTGTAGAAGACCCCTCTGGCAACCCCACCTGCATGGCCCTGCTGCCAGAGCCTCACAGTGCCAAGAGCCTGCAGATGTGTCCTGCCACACGCTGCCCTCTGTTGTTGCGCTCCTCAGTGCCTCCAAGCCCTCTCTCCTTCTGTCCTCTCTGTGTGCCAGCTGCGGTCAGAGCCCCCAGCCCTGCTGCGCTGTGCAGAGGAGCTGCTCCTGGGCACAGCTGTCTACTCTTCTGCCTGCTTGCAGACATGAACATCTGACAGAATGGAGCATCAGTGTGAAGGAATCTTTAGGAATTGCAGGATTTTGCCTAAAGGAACCACTTGACACTTTCAAGGAGAAAAACCCAGAAGTGCACCAGAAGAAGAGGAAACCCACGTATCAGGGAAGACTGGGACCCTGCTGAGTGAACAGTGCCCAGGAGGACGAGGGCCTGGGCGCCACAGGGGTTTCTATATGAGCAGTGGTGCCTGCTCACCAGGAACCAGGGCAGCTTCCTTAAGAACTGCCTTACAAGGAACAGGACCTCCCAGAAGATCTGAGTTATCAGATTCAGCTCAGATCCCATGTGACACTACACACAGAAAGGGTCTGCATCCGGTAGTGAAAGATTTGGAAGTCTGGGAGTCCCTCAGACAGCCTGGTGAGGAGAGGAGCAATGGCTGTGGAAAGGCTCAAAGTCCCAACAGGACCAATGTCTTTGCATCCATGGCTATGGCTTCTGTCTCTGCCACTGAGGCCTATGAGGAGACAGCTTATTGCTAAAGCACCAGGGCCTCATTGCCTCCTCACCCCCACCAATGAACCACACAGGGGTTGTACCATTCTCCTGCACTTGGCCATGCACATCCCCATCTCCTACTGCCCCACAAAGAGCCCTGAGCAAGGTGTCAAAGGGAAGTGTAATACACAGTAAATGTTTGTTCATTGTCTTTTGTAAAAACAAGGAGTTCTGTTTGAGGAACGGGAGTTGTGAAAACTCCCTGCTGAAGTAAGGAGCTGTATAATACTTGGCTAGACACTATGAAAATTCCTTTGCTTAATGTAACAAAAAGAGAACCCTCTCCCCTTCTCTCCTTCTGCATCTCAGTAGCCTCTTTTGTTCAAAATAACACTGCTGCAAAGTTCATGTAACCATCTCCTGATAAGTTGTTAAACTAGTGTATCAACATCTTGCCTTCCTGTCTCACGCTGGGCCAACATGACCAAATAAAGAAAGAAGTTGAACCACAACGCCGAGGAAGACTACGGCCTTCATCTTCACGACCACCAGAGGGACAGAGACGACCCCCTAGCAACAGTGCGCGCAGTCGCAGAACATACCCGGACGTGCTGCGTAATCCTGAAATCACCAAGATATAAAAAGGGACCCTGGGGGGGGTGAGGCGCGCGCCGTTGGCGGAGCTGAGACTCCCCGGCCGCCCAGCGCTGTTTTGCTTGCTGTTGCTTACTCAATAAATTCCTTTCTATTATTAATGCAATGCTCTCTGAAAATTAATTAAGGGGGCAACTTATAACAAATTTGGTGCCGTGACTCGGATGAAGGCAATCTGATTGAAAGACCTTCGGAGGGGGCGCCCCGCTGATTTCAGCGGCCTTTGCTAGGATTACTTTCATTCAAATCCTTCACCAACGAACCCTAAATTCGGCAGCAAGCAAATAAAGCTGGCAACCCCTAGTAATCTTTGTGCACGAAGACCGAACGAAGACTCAGGAGTGAGTAAGTATAGGCCGGTGATCCGTTCGGTTGGGGTTGGGTATCCTGGAGCGTAGCGTTGTGAGACGTCCAATTGCGGACGAAGCGAGCGCGGACCCCTCGGTACTGCGGTTCCCACATCCCGCGAGGGACTGGGCCACGAAAAGGGGGAAGCGATTTGTGTGTGTGTGTGTGAAGGCGCTCCAGAAGATGGGACAGAAGAAGAGTAAGCCTTCTGGTCCCATGGGCAGGGTAACGACAGATGTTAGGTTACCCTGGGATTAATGATTAAAAATTGGCAGGATTCCCCTTTTAGGCGGGGAAGCAATAAAGTAGAAATGATACATTATTGTGTTGAAGTTTGGGGTGGTAAACAGATCCGAAGAGACCACCTTTACTGGCCCGTATTTGGGTCTTTTGAAGATTGGGTTTGTCAGGCCTAAATATTTGTGTAAACTCAAAGGAACCTTTTAGTTTGGAAGAAAATGAATATGCACGTTTGTGAATCAGCCCGGAAACTCAAGCCAATTTATATCCTCTAAAAGAAAAAGGAGGGGATGGGAGGCGTAAGAAATATAACGAGAATTAGAGATCCCAGCCCCACTGCCCCCCTATATTCCACCACCCCCACCTGCAGCCCCTCCAACTCCCGGGCTTCTTAATCTGCAACCCCAGGGAGATGCCAATAACAACTCTGATTCTAGCACTCAGGGACCAGTGACTAGGAATATGTGGCCATCCCCATTAACTCCAGGGATGTCCGAGATTTTAAGAAAGAGACAGGAGGAGGGTAAGCGAGCTTTAATGGCAACTGGCATAATGTTTGCAGCTGCTGAGGAATAATTCTAACTGGAATAATAACTGTACATTGTATATTGTATATATAAAAGCCCAGGCGTTTTTGTTAAAGTGTTCTTTTATACATATGTTAATATGTGAATATGTAAATATAAGAACTGCCATTGAGGTGTATGTCTAAGGGAACAAAATTTGCCCAGGCATATTATCAGCTCATCAGGTTTAAATGTCCTCAGTGTAATTGTCTACAGGCAGTTAATTTACAGTGGTCTGATTTTACTTGTTTATCCGTATATTGTGGATTTTGGAGGGATTGGGATTGACTAGTAAAGAGCTTCTAGGAAAACCGTGGAATATTAACCACTGTAGATTACAATAGGAAAAGTTCAGAGCAAAGAAATCCCGAGGAAAAGCCTCCTAGGATGTGTACTAACACATTGAAGGGATATAGTGGGGTGAGAGGGTACAGAGAGTAAAAGAACCCTTATCAAATATTGTAATCAGTGGTGGCCACTTTATAAACCAGAGGATGGAGCGGAGTGGCCCCTAAACAGAACTACTAATTATAACACCTTATTACAGTCAATGTTGTTTTTGTGGAAAGAAGGAAAACAGGATGAAATGTTGTATATTGATGTTGTTTCAGCATCTTGGAGGGAAAAGGTACGGAATTAAGTTGGTCCCTGACTGAGCCTTTGATGTCGGCATTAGAAAAGTAAAAGCTAGAGAAAGATAAAGGAAGTGTTAAAAGGCTTGTTGAAAGTGTTAAAGGTATTCGAAGTTGAATGAGCAGGGAAAGGTGATGTAGGCATTATCTAAGTAACAGTCTAGAAGTTTTGGTATATTTGCATATTTGCTGTGGTGTTTGTTCAGTTTCCCAAGCAACGGGGAGGGGGTTGGGATGGGGGAACCACCTGCTCCACGAGGTGCTTCTCCAGCAGCCGCAGGGAGGCTTTGGCTCCAGTGCCTGGAGTGCCTCCTCCCCCTCCTTCTGCACTGACTTTGGTGTCTGCAGGGGGGGGGTTTTCACTCTCCCAACTGCTGTTGAGCAGCAGGTTTTTCTTTGTTTCTTTGTTTGTTTGTTTTCGTGGATGTGCTCTCACAGAGGCACGGACTGTATTGCTCATGGCTTGGCTCTGGGCAGCAGTGGGCCCCTTTGGGGCCAGATGAAATTGTCCCTTATCTGCCACTGGGAGGTTTCTGTTTTTTTTTTTCACGGGGGCTGCCACTGCAGTTTCCCACCCCCACACTCCTCACAC